CTAATGCAAAAATATGATGTTTATATTCAAAATGATCATCAAATTATAAGAATTCCAGCAATGTAAATTATATTCAGACCGGGTAATTTGTATGAATTTTATGAGCTAAAACAAATATCTTCAGTTAATAAAAAAAAAAAATAATTCTTCACGGGGTAACAGATGGTCGGTCGGTCCCTCCCTCCCCCCCACCCCCCACCAACCGTCCCAAGGAGATGTGTGGGATAACCACTAAATTTTAATAAATAATACCTCAAACTAAAGTTAGGATAATATAATTGACATTGCTGGATTCCTTGTAAGACCAGGAATATTTTGAATATAAATGTCATATATTTTGCACAAAAGATAACATAGTTACTCTGAGAAAATTTTTTATCTAAAATTTGTATGTCTAATGCAAAATATATGATGTTTATATTCAAAATGATCACCAAATTATAAGAATTCCAGCAATGTAAATTATATTCTGGCCGGGTAATTTGTATGAATTTTATGAGCTAAAACAGGCAGTCAGGCAGGGTGGGGGAAATCTAAAAATAGCGTCTCGAGCCGGACACTCACCGCGTATATGTGGAAAAAATCCGTGTTAAGTGAAAGTTCAGCTCTGGCGAGGCACCGCGTATATGATAAAACGCGTTAAGTGAAACCGCGTTAGGCGGGGTAATACTGTATGTGCTTGATCCTCATCGCCAATTTACTGTATGCACCGTCGGTCAGTAATATACTGTTTGATTTTGTTGGTGTTTATTGTCTCAATACAGAAGGCACCAATACCTGAAATGTACAGAACAGGAATTAACACACATAGGCTACACCATCTCACACATATACTAGTACACACACTCCAATGACTATACGCTTGGAACAGTACACTAGAGCTGGTGTGTGAGTAAGTGGCAGGTAATGCGGGGACTTCAATATATCAGTATTTGCTTTTTTCGGACTGGGGCGCTCTGGTTACCAGAAATACAAAAAAATATACAGTATTGTACATGTTTTTGGAAATGGGGAAGATTAATAAAAAAATCTTATGAAATGAACAACACTTACTGAATACTGTACAGTGGTCTAATGAGATTTGCTATAGGCCTACTGAGAACTAAGACACTTGAATATGTAAGCAGGCTGGGGCTGATCAGGTGTTGCCACATTCGTCAGGTTTATTTATTGATTCAGTATTATATTGTCATATGATTGTCCTCTTATGGTTCATCATGATTAATCTAACATCTTCAATAATAGAGAAAAAATACAATACTGTATGTTATTTGTAATATGACTTGAAAATAAAAGGATAAGCTGTATCAGAAGGTTGTTTACTCAAGGTGCTTTTGTGTGAGAGCTTTCAGCAAATAAGCTTAAAACATGGGTCACTATAACACTGTTTAGTATTTGGTATGAAGATACCTCCCTAAAAATTTTATTTACTACCTTTGAGTATTATAGGATGACTCAATTTGGCTACTTGTACACTTAGACAAATGATTAATGAATAAACTAGGGTATACGAGGTATTCAGATACACAATATTGTACGCTACAATATTACTAAGGGATAATAAATACACTACAATAGTATTTATTAAGTGATGATAAATACACAACTGTACTGTACTAATTTACTAAGTGTTGAAAACAGACATTGTGGTGTTGAGTGTGGAATTCTTTTTTCAGGAAAGTAAATTCTTTTAGGGTAATATTTTATCAACCTGGTACCAAATGATCCTAAATTATATGAGAATTATGGTGAAAATGCATAAAGAAGTGTTAAAGGAATCTTGAGGGAGTCACCCACCCGTGCTACCCACCTTCCCCTGTCCCCTCTGCCAGCTGCCACGAAAATGCCAGTAACTTTAAAACTACCCTTAGACGTTCTTGGGTACATCCAGGGTGTCATCCATGAATAATTGAGGTCCGCGAATTAAAAATCTGTGAATTGTTAAGGCATGCTGTATTTGACTTATATGACGCTAATGCATCGTCTCACATCTATATCATCATATCATTTCATCTATCAGGCGTTATAGTATTGTATTCTAGCATACAACAAACTCTTATAGATAACGTTTCTCCCCACACAGTGGCACACATCGTCATGCCTCGGGTATTGTTACCAAAAGATACAGTACTGTATTTTGTCAACATAATACGTGTTATCTGTGTTCCCCAACATAAACAAACACCACAAATTATAAAGTATCTGCTTTCACATAATGAGGATTACTTACTAAACACTGTGTGCACCTGTGCCCTAAACTGTGGCAGGCACTGACACCCACTCTAACCCCTTCTCCAGTCGTCACCTCACCTTACCGTCCAGTAGACAACAGATAAATAGTACAGTAATCTGTATTGAAATTGTAAGAAAAAAAAGCAAAATACAGGTGGAACCTCTGCTCACTCGTGTATTTTTTCCTGGTACAGTATAGTATTGTTATTTAAAAATACTTGTGTTTGACAACTTCCTGGGTATGTTTTTATTGTTTATTACACTATTACTATGACGATGCTTATGTAATTAAATTACAATGCTTCCACTATTCATTGGGTCAAAATTGCAACTCTGTCGTAAACGGACACCATATGTAGAGGCCCCATCCCATCTCCCTATCACCCCTAGAATAAGTGACAGTTGCTCAGGTTTTAGCAGGAGGAGTGAAGGACATGAAGGAATACTGCATGACTGATGCATGCGTGTGTGTGTTTGTGTGACTTGGGGGGGGGGGGTTGTTATGTTATCACAGTGGTCAATGATCTCGTAAATTCTGGACAGTAAATATGCATAATGGTTCTTAACCTGTAGCACAAGCTAGGAATGACACCTTAATGTCCTGCATTGTAACGTTCCTGAGGCTTGTTTGTAAGTCCAACTTTACTCCTGTAGATACCAAACATATTGTAAAAAATTAAATGATTATGGATATTTAGTACAGCTATACCCTTTAATACAGCCTTAAAACCTGGCTCGCTCTTCTCCTCTTAGGTAATGTTTGTTCTATCTGGAATTTTCTTCAAAATAATCCAGTCTCATCCACATTAAACACCTGTTCTGGCAGGTAACCCCCCTCAGTGATGATGTTTGTATCTCTGAAAGTTTGTAAGTTGAACGTTCTTAAGTAGAGGAGCACCTGTACTTAACTCTCCCCACCCCTCTAGCCCCCCTACACACTGACCCTCCTCAGCCCCCGCATTACACGCCACTTACTCACACACCAGCTCCAGTCCTTCCCCAGCCTACCTCTCTCCTTCTCTCGTCAATGCTTCGGATTCAAGAGTCGATAGTTCCAGGGTTCACACCTCAGAGAGAGTGTGCATTGACAACGCTGATTGTATCAGTTGGAAGTGGAAGAGGCTGTACATTATAAGAGACTGCATTGATGCATGGTGCTTAACACCATCTTTGAGTTTTTGCTGTTTTTTCCAGATGATCAGTTTTTCTAAAGTTACATTAATGAATACATCATTGCAGGTCATATTAAATGCTGGGTAACACTAAAAGCGGATACAGTACAGTACAGATTATTCAGGTGGGAAAGCTCTTTTCTTTCATGCTGTGTTCAGAAACTGTAAATATTCACAATTAGTATCCTAACAATTTAATGGGTTAAGTTTTAGTTGGTTTGTATTGTGTACAGTACCTTCATAAATAATTATAATACAGTATAGTTTAGGTATATATTCTTAACATAGTTTGAAGCATACATCTTGCCAGATAACAGACATCCACTGTGTGGATAATTTCTATAACCATCAGTGATGTACAGTATGTACCATATTTTGAATGAGAGTAAACTTGTGATGTGAAATTCTCCTTATTAGATCTGCTGTCAGTGCAAACAAACTTTAAGAGTGGAGACTGTGTGTGTGTGTAAAGTATTTTGATGACATTAACCAACAAATTTTCTTAACTTATTAAAAATGTATCTAAGAGCATTAGCTCTGGTTAGGTTAGTGTAGTACTGTACAGGTATATTGTAGAGCCATAATGATTGTGTCTGTGAGGCTTCTTTACATTAAGAGTGATAAGAGTACAGTATTCCTTTAGAAAATATTACATTATTGTTGTGGAAGTGGCTATTGAGCTGGGTCACCTGGTAAAATAGCCTACATTTTTATACAGCAGGGTAGTTTATTGTTTTTATTGGCGATATACCTTACCTTTCCTTGAGTCAGATCAATTCAAGAAGTGATTGACATGCCACAAGGACAGGTAAGGGAGGGAAACATTATAGAAGGTTATGGATACAGTATTGATTATACAGTGGCTATACTGTACTGCTGCTCAACTAACTCAACACAGCTAGGATAGTTACTTATGTACTGTATTAGGATATTTAATATTAAGGTAATAAAATGGTGGCAAAGGAATGGCTATTGGGGGAGGCTGGAGGCCATTTAAAAAAACATACTGTACTATATACAGTAGTATTGTTGGAAGAGGATTACAGTATATTGTTTTATGCTATATTAAGAATGAATTGGAGCTCGGTGGTCAAGCAGATACAGCACTTGCCTCCTGTTCTAGGGGTTGGTGGTTCGACTCCCAGATGCTCCTAATTCACCCAGTTGTAAATGGGTACCTAAGTTTACAACTTGGGGAAGTGAATGTAATCAAAAGCAGTACTGTACTGGCCATGCTGCCTCCTTGTGCACCATAGGCTTAGTATACTGTGTGATGTATCCACACTTCCCTAATGGACAGTCATCTCTGTGTGACTCACTTTCACTTTCAAGAATGATCCCATAACTTCAACTTTATCTAATTGTTTAACCCCATACCATCCTACACAGCTATAAACAGATGACAATGCATGTCTTGTGTGAACATTTAAAATAAGATTCTTGTTAGTTCAGTTCACACATGTTTTTTTATGCACTGCTGTTGGATTTGCAGCCTGTATTATAAAGCAAGCTTTCCCATGAAGATATTATCCAAATATGTGTGTACAGTACAGTGAAGTATTTGAGTCATCTTGATGTAATTTCTCTCTTCTTCAGATGGAGTGATTGAGAGCAGAGCGAGTCTGCAGAAGTGAGTGAAGATGGCAGGTAAGTTTAAAGCCACAAACTTTACTACTGTACCGCTATACTGTACTGTATTATAACTTGGAAATAATTAATTGCTTGAGCTATAAGTTTCTACCATGAAAATGTCTACTGAATACAAAGTAGCTACTGTACTGTACTGTATTGTATTGTTATGCACTTGGTCTAGTGTACCATATAGACGTTGGAGTCCACCATTGTTTATTGTTTCCTGGTCAACTGCAAGTGTTGTGTGACATCCATAATCATTGAAACATCTCCAAGCTTCCAATTCTTCCTGTAGCTAAAGGGTTTTGGAATGTTTATGGACAGGATTTATATATGTTATTTAGGAGGACCATGAAATGTATTGCGAAGCAGCTCCTTACCCAGTGAACTGAGGTTGAATCATATGCTCCGAACACCCAGCTCAGTAATTGCTTGAAGAGTCAGGAAGGCTTCAGAAACAACATTATGAACTCCATTCAGACATAAATAGAGCAGTGGGGTTTCCCTTTCTAAGTTTCCAGTTATTTACTTAACAAGAGCTCAGCTCCTGCTCTAAATTGGCCAGCATTGCATGTAGGTCAAGCATTTTTTCTTTGCCTTTATTATTTATATTACAGTTTGATTGTTTGTTACTCTTGTTTAACACAGACATTGTGCAAGTTATCTTTCTTCCTCCTAACAACACATCGCTTCTGCAGCCACTTGACCATGAATTCATCAGTAATGTTAAACTGTTTTACTATCAGTCACTCTATAAAGACTTCTGTCAGCAGACAGACTCATTAGTTGAGTTACAACAAATTGAGGTAGAACTCTGACAGTGACCAGGCTCTACCAGCTAACCAGGAGGAGGAGGAGGTGGTAGATGACCCGACTCCTAGCACCTCACCACCTTGTGAAGTGTTATCAGTTTGTGAATTTTGGAAGAAATAGAATATTAAAAATGCAGTGGACAGAATTGTTGAGGCATGGCGTAAGATTGATGTTGAAACAGTGTTACACCTGTGGAAGTCTTTGTTCGCTAACTCCGAGGTAAGTGGGGCAGAGCAGACCAAGGAAAGCGGGGAGAGGCAGTCCGTGGTGGCAACAATAATGGACACAGTGGAGGCAGCAAGATCAGTCCCAGCACCGGGATTTTCGGATGTTCTGGTTGAAAATTTGTAAGAAATCGTTGGTCAACATCGGCAGCAACTGACAAATGAAGAAATGTTGGAAGAGGATGAAGAACAAGAAGAACATCAAGCAACACAAGAGGATGATGTTAAGCCTGGTAAACCTACAACACGCCAGCTGACCGAGTTGCTCACAACCATCGCACGTCTCGGTGAGCCTTATGTGCTCTGTCCTGATAAGGGTATGGAGGAATATAAAGCCTTGTACCTGTCCCGTGTTAATGCTCGTCAGCAGGCCCTTATTACTCGGTACCTGCACAAGGCCCAGCTTGTTATTAATGCCTTGGCAAACATCACTTTAGGAGATGATGATGATGGCACCACCGATGATGATATTGAAGTGTTGAGTGACTTACTGGTGGAAGAACTGCCTGAAGACTTTTAGGGATTTGATGCTGAGGTGTAGAGGAGGGAGTAGCAACCAGCGCTCCCTGCCTCGTAACCCATCAAGCAGCTTCGTCAAGCATTTCATAGTATGAGTGTATATATATTGTAGGTCATTATAGAGGGATTTGGGTGACACCTTGTAACCAATTAGGCTTATTTACATGTATTTCAATGTCACTCATTTTACGATTTAAAATTTTGTGATGCTAAAACTGGTACCAATTAGTCGCGAAACTTGAGATCCTACTATAGTTGGATTTGCACAGAATGGTAACTTCCTTGGCATTTACAGAAGCAAGTTGTAAAGGAAGAGGCCACACAAATTACTTATCATCTACCGCCTTTGAGGAGCTAATTGTGATTATTGGAGAGGAAGTGCAAAATAACATTGTCTGTCGAATACAATCTTCGACGTATTTTTCAGTACAGTGCATCCTCGTATAATGCCATCCCGCTTAACGTTGTTTCGGTACTATGTCGCTAAACTTTAGAGACCAAAAATTTTTTTAACATCCCGGGGATCCGATACTACGTCATATTGCGTCGTCGCGGACTACAGTCAGTTCTGCTATAATGCGATAGTTGTGTTCTTGTAAAACATCGTGTTATAGAAATTCGCGTAATAGAAATAACAGGGCTTATGGAGAAAATAGGGTTAGGTGCAGATTACTACTCGAAATCGAAAAAAATTTAGTAGTTAGCCTAACACAAAGGTTAGCAGTCTAAATAAATGTTACATTCATATCTAATAATGAAATCATACAGTAAATGTAACACTTTACCTTGAAAAAATATGAATATAACTTGATGGGGGAGAAGGGTGATTTTGAGGTAGATAACATCGAGCTTCTCTTCGAGGGTTATAGCCTTTCTTTTATGATCATCACCGGGAATGCGATCACCAGAACGCTTCTTGGAGATATTCTTCTTTACCATATTCACAGTTAATACCACAAAATTGGAGAAATAGTAAGCAAAAATCGCGTTACAGCAAACAAGCGTCCGCGTTATGCAAATATCGTTCCTCTATTCATAAATCGCGTTAGAGCCAATTCGCGTTGTCAAAACACGTGTTATAGCAGAACTCACTGTACTGTGATAGAAAAAGTAGAAAAGATGCTGGCAATGTGGATGGAGAATCAGAATCAAAACAATGTGCCTGTGAGCCTTATGGTTATCCAGCATAAGGCCAGATCCTTGATTGACGACGTAAAGGAAGAAGAGGGTGAAGGATCGAAGGAAGAGACCTTTACAGCCAGCCAAGGATGGTTTTAACGATTTAAACTCAGGTATAACTTCCACAGTATTAAGATTACTGGTAAAGCTGCCAGTTCAAATACGGTTGCTGCCGAGACATTCCCGCCAGAATTCAAATGGAATATTCATTAAGGAGGCTACTCATCGAACCAAGTCTTCAATGTGGATGAGACTGGTTTCTTTTGGAAGAGGATGCCTGAGAGGATGTACATCTCCAAGGAGGAGAAAAAAGCGCCATGTTTTAAAGTGGCAAATGACTGCTTAGCGCAAACGCTGCCGGCGACTTCAAGCTGAAGCCGATGTTGATTTCTTGTGCTGCCAACCCACAGGCCCTGAAAAGTTACTCTAAGGATCACCTTCCTGTCATTTACAAGGCAAACAAGAAGGCATGGATAACTGGCGCCATATTTAGCCAGTGGTTAAATGAGTACGCCGTTCCTGCAATGAAGGAATACTCTGCCAAGGAAGAACCTTGACTTCAAAATTCTTCTGATCGTTGACAATGCTTCAGCTCATCCTCTCAATCTCGACGACATTCCTGCCTCCCAACACGACAGCACTGATGCAGCCTATGGACCAAGGCGTCATCGCCGCATTCAAGGCATATTATTTACCATGGCCCAGCTGCTCAAGGCTACAGACGGAGAAAACAAACCCACAATCCGAGAATATTGGTGCGGATTCAACATTCTTCATGCAATTGACAACATTGGCAAGGCATGGGAAGAGGTTTCAGAAAGTTGCCTGATTGGTGTGAGGTGTAAATTGTGGCCCGAGTGCGTCAACAGTTGTACGGGATTCATGGACTTAGTCCCAGCTGTGAATAGGGATATCCTCAGTTTGGCTAGACAGGCAGGCTTTGTTGAGCTGGAATCAGAGGATATTGAGGAAGTCCTGGCATCCCTTACAGAAGAGCTCACCAACAAAGATCTGCAACAATTAACAGAACACAGTGCCATTGAAGATGACGACGAAGAAGAAGAACCTCAACAAACGCTAACTTCCAAGAGGATGGCAGAAGCTTTCAACATGATCCAGCAAGGTATGCAAATCCTTATAGATGACGACCCAAACAGAGATCGTAGCTCAAAGGTTCAACGCAGCATTGGGGACAGTCCTGGTTGTTACACTGAGATCTATAAGGAGATGAAGAAGAGTAGCACTAAGCAGTTAACACTGGATTAATTTTTTCGTCGCAGGACGACAGAAGCAGCTTCTTTACAACAGCTGGCAGCCGAGGAGGAGCAAACAACAATGGAGGGAGAGCAAACAGCGCCGGAGAAACCCCAGTCAGCACAGGAGGAGGAGGAGATAGCCACAGAGTCTCAGGAACTCACCACCCTCCTCCTCTCCCGCCCGCCTCCGCTCCCGCCCTCCTCCTCAGCTCCTGCCATCTGCCTCACTACCCACCACACACTCGCTCCACCACCTCCGCCCATCGGTAAGTACCAATACAAACTTAATAGTTATATATCTATATACTATTTTCTATAGAAATGGCAATGATTTTCTGTATATGTAATGTTTTTCGTGGGGCAAAGGGAGGCTCAGGAACATAACTCCCGTATTGAATCTATTTCTTCTAGGGAAAATTGATCCGCTTAACATCGTTTTGTATAACGTCGCATTTTTATGAACGTAATCCCGACGTTAAGCGAGGACTTACTGTAACTTTAAATGGAAATCCAGATAACAACAAGATAGACCAACTACTGTTTGTCTCAGATATACTGTATTAGGGTGTGTCATACGGAGGGGAATTTTTTTTTTTTTTGAGTTTGAAAAATCGGCCCATGGTATTAATGATGTAGTTCTATGTGCAGAATCATGTGATATCTTCAGATTTGAAAAGTTTTCATTTTTTGCTAGGTAAATTTTAACTTGAAATCTTATGAAAATTCAGTATTCCCACCCTTTTACCAACACCACTAAATAGCTTATTTAAAGTAAAGTAAATGTATCAGGTTAACTTATTAGGATGAAAATGATCCAGAATAATGAAACGAATGATCTTGACACATTTATTAAATTTAATATTCCTTTAGAAAACAAAATCATCAAATACAAAAACCGGTTTTACTACTACGACCCGGTGTTGCTGCACACCATAGAGAACATGTCTTTCTTGCTTCTGTTTCTACTCATCACCTCCCTGCTGACCACCTGAGCTCGGATGTAGCCTTCCCTCCTCTCCTGGCT